AGGAGCGATGGAATAGAATGCAATAAGAATCACTGGCATACTTATCAGAACACTGACAACCACAGACAAGAAGAAGGAGAGGAGGAAATAACTGTTAAGGGAGAAATGGTATAAGCAACAGGAAGCCAAAGGTTCAAAGGGAGGTAGAGTAAGGGCATTAAGAACAAGGAGAGCTTGGGAGGAAAAAAAACCAACACAATTATGGTTGTCTGTCTAGAGTGAACAGTCCAAGTGTTCAACACTAGACAGTGTGGAAATTACCATCTTTGTATAAATCACATTGTGGAAAATAAGAGCAACAAAGTCTGCAGAGCAGAACTGCTTGAAAATAAAAACAAATAACTGTTAATGATAAGAAATCTTCAGTGAGTGAAAAAAAGACATGCCTCAACATGAATGTCAATTCAAGAACTGATTATTAAACAATCTGTATATAGGAAGACAGCTGCACTAGGAGAGGTTGCACTCCTATTGGTGAGGGTTTTCTCATTCTTGCTGGCATGCAACAATGGAGAAAAATCAAATGGAAACATGCATGATTAGGTGGGAACCTCAAAGCTAATGGCAAGCAAAGCTTGCAAATAGAGCAACACTGAATCAGGAAAGCTAGATGTGAAAGGAAGTTACATATTGTATTGGAATTTAATATTATATAAGCTTTAATTCTTTGAACTTAAAAAGATATGTATAAATAAATTCTCAAACTTCACTTGTTGATATCACATGACACTTATTCAGTCTGAACTGTCCAGATTTAGATATTCTTCCCATCCCTACATTTTAGTTACTTTTATAATAATAAAGAATAAAGATAAAAAACAAGAAATAAAGTACTTACCCAAGTAGTTTTTTTTTGGCTGTCAACCATTGATGACACTTAACCTTATATTTTTAAACTAATGTGATAGTGCATTAAATAATTTTTTATTTAATTAAATAATACACCAAAGAACATAGACTAATGACATGCAAAAAGCAGCCAATTTCCTCTAACAATCACAATTTCTCTGGCTTTTTAACTATTCGACAAGAGCAGTTACAAATTCATCCAAGCTAGCCGTTGTGATTCCCATGGGAACCAGTTGTATTGCAAGTGAAATTGACAATTCTGTGTTCAGAACACAACATAATAGAATATGTCATTTGATATATGAAAACCTTGGCTTTCTATTGGTCATAGGTAATACAAAATCAAACGAAAGAGAGAACTATTAACAAATTCTGAAAGAGGGGATGTGACAGGTAGGTGTGGCAGGAGGGGTCTGATTTTCTATTTGATAACTCTGTAACTAAACAAAATTGAAGGCTATAAAAATTGTGATTTGTCTGTGCAATGATGGTTTTAGAGTGAGTAATTTATTTTTAATTTTGTACTTACTGAAAGTGAAAAGAGAAAATACCGAGAGAAAATTTGTCATGTGTGTCACAGTAGGGAGAAAATTACAATTTTTTAAAAATATTTCCTTATAGTTTTAAGAACTTAAAACTTATATGCTATTAAAATATGGATTACTAATTAAGATTTATGCTATTCTAATTGGTATAACATAAACAAAAAGCAGCTTAATAAAATTTTGAATGAAAGACACTAAAACCTCGTGTCATGCGCAGTAAAGGATACCCTTGGTGATAGGGTTAAATATTGGTCAAAATGGCTGAGTCCATACACAGAATTAAAGAAGATAAGGGTAGTGCTGAGAAACTGAATATATGTTTAAAGTAAAAAAAGTTAGCAGGGATTTTTGTTCTAGAATTTTTGTGCAAAGCTACACAAGAGCTACCTATGCATAATCATCCCTACTATTGAACTGATAAGAAGGAAGGCAGCTAGTCAACACTGCATCTACCTCCAATTCTTTGGTAATTCTTAACTGACCAAATAGTGGGATTTAATTGGAACTGTTATAGCACACCAACAGCCCCAAAATGCAGAGCACATGTTAACAGCAATTAAACATGATCCATGAACACTTGTACTTACAGTCTGAGAAAGCTAACCACTACGCAATGCCTAACCCTATAACAGTTAAGAGAGGTTACATATCCTTTATGTTATAAGGAAGAGATGATATTACTGAAATAAATAACCTTTATCTTTAAATATGAAAAAGGTAACACTAAAGAAATACTGCATACTCTTATATTCAAAGGTGGCAAGGTTAATATTGATGAGTTGCTTCATATTCTGATATTACATAAAAGAGATAGTACCTTAGAGTGAATGCTGTATATTCAGATGTTTAATAAGGGCAAAATGAGAGATGTAACAACATCTCATATTGAAAAATAGAGTATAACACAGAGAGTTACCGTGTACTCTTAAATTAAAACTAGGGAAATGTAAGCATAAAGATAATACATACTCTTACATTTAAAAAGTGACATTTTTACAATGCACCCACATCCCAAATGCTGCATACTCTTATGTTTAAAGAGAGACAGAGTAATGTTGATGAGATACATGACCTATGTGAACACTGAAAACATGCTGCATACTCTTATGGTTAAACAAAGAAACAATGTGTGAATGCTCAAAATTCACTTTAAAGAGAATAATACTAACTAAATGTTGAAGCTCAGTACCCTTCAAGTTCAAAAAATGACATTTTAAAATGGAGAGGGTGCAACATACCCCTTATGTTTAACCCTGTGTGCATTGGCTTGATCCATTTATTATAGAATTAATTGTTACGATTATTATAATTTTGTAAGCTTTTAGTAAACATTACAAGTATTTTGTACACAAAAACTTAGTTTACTGAGCCAGTCTGACACAGACTATGACTAGTCTGTGTGGAAGGTGACTTTCATGCTGAGAATAGAAATACTTATTTTCATCTTATGGTTTTCATATTTTATTTGCATAACCTACAGAACTTTATAAAAGAATATCAATTTTATTTGGTAAAATTTTATACTTTATTATTTATTTTCTAACACTAACTATAGTGAAATCATCTGTGGTAAAAGTTCAGAGATTAGAGTGAATGAACATCTGCACCGTCATGGGTTCCTCAAGGAGTATCACTAAAAAAAGAAATCGCTTAAGTTTTCTTGTATAATCTAATATGTTTCTAATTTCTACATTTTAATTACATTTATAACAGTAAATAGAAATTATACATAAAATTAGAAATTTAGCATTTAAGCATGGGTTACATACTTTCTGCTGTTGAAGTCTAAATAAAAGTTAACCCTAGTTTTTGATAGAGTTGTTGTTAGTGCTTTATTTAATTTATATGTATTTCAAATATGAAGTTTAGAACACAAAATAATAACAAGCACAAAGAATACAATGCTCTATAATTATTATAAATTAACTGGCTTCAGTTAAATTAACTGCAAAGTGAAGCACATTATGTAATTCTCATTAAATGTCCTTCCAATAATAAAACGACTGAATAAATTGTTTATAACTTGACAAGAACTTTCAGAAAAGTATGCAGTTTGAGAAAAATATTTAATTTTGGTTTTGCTATTATTTCTAGTAAAAATTCGTTATTTAATTTAGTTATTTGCACTCAGACTTTGAATAATTCACCTGCAAGATAATTTTCATTTTGAGTATAAATATACTATTTATTACCTTACAGTTTTCACATTTCACTTGCTTAATCTCTAGAACCTACTAAATGAATATCATACGTTTTTAAAGATAATTTGTTTATATTTCATTTTCCATTTCCTCTACCAAATCACTAACTCTAGCTACTATCATCAATGTACAGTGCAATGAAATGCTTAAAATTAAGAAACAGAAGTGTGTACATACCTTTTAACTCTTCATTAAATAATCTTAAGATATCTTCTTTGGGTCATATACATAATTTCGCATCTTTACCTTTTTACTTATGTATTATCTTTAATGACTTATTTTCCTTTCCTATTCATTACCATTGCTTATTTATGTCGACACATGTCAACGGGTCCCCTCGGGCAATAAAACATTGTGAGAAAGTTAGAACGTCATACAGGAAAGAAGGATAATGTAAGTAGACAATTTGGACCAAAGACACATCATTTTATAAACAAATGTGAAGATGGAGAATATATCTAAATATTTTCTTTTGTAGTTACAAGACTACAACTTTCATAATAATAAAATTTGAATTATAAACCTTTTGATGCCAAATTTATTGACATACATTGAATAACAAATATTTTAAATTAAATTTTGAATGTAATGCTGCAAAAGGTTGTGACATGCTGCCATTGACCCCCACCCATAAATACAGGGTTCACAAGGGTAAGGAAACACTGAAGGAATATAAGTGTTTTATTCAAAAGGTGTAGCACTAAGATAAATCTGCATTTAACCTTGTGTTTAGTCACAATGAGAGATGCTACATCTTTTATGCTTAAAGAGGATGATCATAATGCCAAAGAACTGCTGCATATCCTTAAGTTCAGGAAAAGAATAACAATATAATGAGTAACAATCAGAGATGGTTGCATACTCTTTAGGTTCAAAAACAGAGTGGGTAGCCTTGAGAGGATTCTGCACACTCTTAAGAACAAAAGATAGAGAGGACAACATTAAAAGAACCTATGTACTCTTATATTTATTAACTGTAATTATTAATTATATTTATAATTCTACCAGCAGTTCAGTTCAGTTTAACTGAAAATAAAGAATAAAGATGATCACTACTTAAACACACCTCCATACTGGACATTCGTTTTGAAAAATGGGGAATTCTATAAGAAGATGTAAACTCGACCACCAAAAAATTGTGTATAACGTATGAAGAATTTCAAAACTAATAACTTTTATTACATATAATGTGAATGAAACTATAATACAGGTTTTATGAGTTAATACACACATGTAAGTGAGAACTGCACAGAACACATATCAATAATTTAATTCCAACATTATTGAAATTCTACTTAACAGACAATATAAGAATTATCTAATCTTCTAAAAGCATCTTATTTTTGTGTGGCAGAATTTTTTTTTATATAAATAATTTATGAAAATTATAAAATAATATTCATACCCTGTAGCAATGGCATAGAGATCAGGTCTTTTTTCCTTTTCATCTTCACGAATTTTTTCAATTCTACGTTCTAAAGCTAAACCAAGATTGGTAATGATAGGGAAATATGGCAAGATCTATTAAAAAAGGGTAACATATATTTTAATGAGCTTCACTAAAAAACTAAACATTATACTTAACTTTATCGTAAATCCTCACATTATAAATAATCACACATTATTTCTTTTTTCAGATGAAACCTCAAATCATATCCTACCTTAACACCTCTACAGAAATATTATTATATACAAGGTTCTCAAGTTTGCAAATAACAGATATTAAAATTACTTTAGTATATGGAAAATAATATAAAGTTAATAAATATGAGCCTGCACACAGAAGACAAAAATACAGTGATATTAACAGTGAAAATGACATGCCACATTATTGTTAGTAACAACTTAAGACAGCCAAACTCGAATTGCCAGATAAACAATGATCTTAACAACAACCTTTTATCATTGACATGTAATAGTTAATATGAGCACTCAATTTTTACTGCAATATGTTGCATGATATTTTCTTTATCAGGTCTTCCAACAAGCTCTCCAGAAAAAGTAGGGACTTTAGTTGGGCAAATTTTTTCAAAAAGTAGGGCCCATCAGTAGAGATAACTTAGACTTCATAGGGGACTTACCACCATGTTTTATACAATTATCTACACTGTCATAACCATTAAAACATTACAAAATGCAATGAAGCATAATACCTAATTTAATTTGTAGGGATGTTTTCACTAATTAAACTAAACTTCATCTTAGCCAGTTTGTTGTGTTGATCTCTCTGGGCATGTTTCAAATATTGCTGTTTGACATTATTATCACAAGCTACTCATTTGGTAGTGGTTGACACTAACATGAAAGTTCATGACCATTATTGACTACATAGGATAATGGTTGGTGCTGGAATCATGTTTTTCTATCTGGCATTTTAGTTTTCTACATGACTATGAAAACATAAAACACCACCAATGCATCTATTAGATTACAATAAAATTAATATCTATATAAATAATACACTTGCATTTGTCTGTCCTGAACTTTCTTGCAAATTTCTCGATCAAACACTACAAATCTCATACTGTTAGAAATGCCTTTGTCCGAGGAATCCAGAATGCATATTGGCTTTTCAATTCAGAATCACCTTACTTGTTTTTTGCTTAGTCAAACTTTTAAACACAAGTACTGTACACGACACAATGTTTTTTATTTGCAAAGTATTTCATACAAACATTTAACCCATGTGAAATTTCCAAAAAAAATATGAACATTACATTAAATACCATTTCTATAAGTTTTCTGAATATGCACGTGCAATTTGTTCAAAATCATAAGCTTATTATTTTGTGAAAATGCATTCAGACATTTCTGCATATTCAGTTAAGTTTGCCTTCATTACAACTTTACATTTACTTTACTTTGTAATAACTTAACTTCAGTTTTGTTTCCTAGACAGCTATAAGCACCTTTTAGCTACTTTTTTCTTTACTACATGTATTATTTTTCATTTTTGAAAGTTTCTTTGTTTCAACTTGTAAAACTGTATCATACAGTAAATGCTCATAACTGTTTCATACTCTGTACACTATTATCAATACCATTATTTTACTTTATTGCTTACTTTACCTGTAGGTTTATTAAATAATGTTATGTATTTGCAGTTTCATTAAAGTTACATCTATGTAAGTTTGTTTGACTGACCACATAAAATGTTTTCAGACAGACCAGGATTTATTGATCTAATACAAAATGCCTGCTAGAAAGTGTCACTTAAATGGCATGCATGAAAATGCTAGAATAAGGTAAGTTCAAGAAGAGGGCATGAAAACTATCATAAATGTTTTGCAGGTCACAGCTAGTTGTCTATTGAAACTATCAGGGTTTAGCTATTTCAGGAGATGACTGACAGAGTGATATTTTCCAATAAATTGATAATTGCCTGTGAATCCCTGTCTATTAACATTCATTTGCTTATGGTCCTTTGCCTGATATAACCTACTTATAGTTTTATTGTATATCCATGATATCCAACTATTTGCCTACAATTTTGTGGTATTCCCACATATATAGATTTTCTACACATGAGAATAATATCAGCTCTAACCGACTTACAGGAGTTGAAAAAAAAAGATACAGGTTTTTTAGTAAAACCAAAACTCAAGATGATCACTTTTCTCTCTAACTGCTGAAAGACCTATGACAGGCAAATTCTGGATAAGAGTAAGAAAATCAATAATAATGTACATACAAGATAGTTAACTTTCCCAGAATGTATTTTTTTCATCCATTACACTTGGTCATCCCATCAGTAAAAATAAGGTATTTCTGGTGTCATTAAAGCATATTTTAGCACAATTCTAACACATGCTCTAGCACCATTTACTGTGAGAAAGTTCATAAACACTGCAGGTGAGTGAAAGTATATATGCGTGTGATGACCTTTGATCAAATGTATGTAATAGCAATACATTTTGAAGGTTCTGGTGAAGAGATGTGCATCTTCCTAAACTAAAAAGAAACATTTGATAACATTTCCATAATCTTGTATCCATGAATTTTGTCTGAGATCAACCCTATATATTAATTTTTTTTTGTAGTGATCCTTTGTCCTTTGCCTGATTATAACTAGTTAGTTTATTACATACTAACATTTTAACATGAGTTTCTGCTTCTGGGTTTCGCCTGAGACCAATTACTTATTACGCACTGTTAAGGTTTTCCAAATACTCTATTTTACTTTACCCGATGACTACCGGTACTAACTTTC